GGGAGCCCCAGCGAGCCGGGAGCCCCAGCGAGCCGGGAGCGCCGAGCCCCTCGCCCAGCTGCAGCGGGCAGAGCTGCCCCAAAGCTCGCAACCTGCCGCAGCCCGAACTGCGCCGACCCCGGACCTCCCCCTTGACGCGCAGCAAATTCGGTTCAGGTGTCTGCTTTCCAACGCACCCAAATGCTTGCTCAGCCCTCCACCAGGAAAAAAAAAAAGGGGGGGGGGGCTATTTTCCTATTTCCCCCAGCAGTTCTGTCATCGAASTCTCAGGCCTATGAGGTTATAGGAATTCATTTCCCCTCACCATGATTTTTGCCTGGAGAAATGTCCCTCTGATGGGCCTGACCCCTGTCCTAGTCAAAACTGAATGGCAGAGGAAGCAAAACCTGTTGTGAAGTACTTCAGACACTCCCCAAATGTTAGCATAAGCTGTGAAATGAAGAAAATGGGACACAYGGAAGCCCTTTCTGCCACTTCTTAACAAAAGAAAAAGCTGTCCAGAGTACCGACTCGCGCTATGAAGTCACAGCAGTGATGCAAGGTTTGGGCATCATTATTGCATACAGGATCACTATAGACGCTATGTATAAGTCTTAACACAAGTAGCATTAACTCTCCAACTTACAGGTATGTCTCAGGAACTGCTATCACATCACAGCAGACCTAGATAAAGATAAGAGTGGAATCAGACCAGTATTTACGGAAACACCTATGCACAAGTGTCCTGAATATATAAACAGTACTTTTTTGGCACATAGAAGTGACACATAACAGTGTAAGTCACTAACTTGGAACTTTGAAATAAAACACAACTTAGATTGAGTTGTTGGGTATTTACTGTTAACAGTGAAACTGGCTATTTACTACTGCAGTAAAATTGAAATAATGTTTTAAAAGGTAAAATCAAATAAAATTAGTGGCAGTTACTGACAGGTCACAAATAACCAGACAGCTAGAAATGGTCTGAACCAGAACTTCTGCAGGCTCTCATTAAATACTCCTCTTGTCAGTATTTGGATTCAGCTCTGGAAAACTTGCAGCCGAAGTGTGTGTGTTGGGGGGGAAGCAGTTAGAATTTGTTAATCCAGAAAAAAAAAAGTTTTAAACACAGCTATGGTCTGAAGARATATCCAAGACTGAATCTGCATGCTAAGGAGAGTTGCACAGARCATGTATCTGCTGCACAGTCTGTGACAGGACAAGTGGATGGGATGGGAGAAAGCTTCTCTGCACCACTGCAAGAATCACTATGTGATTATTTTTCTTCTCTTTCAGAGCTGGAATTCCTTCTTTTGTCAACTCCCCTCCAGTATGCTTTTACCTCTGAATGCCATCCTACCTTTTATTTCTTATTTTATTACCGGAACAATGCAAATACTTTTTGCAGATCGAGGTGGCTGGGGACAGCTGAAGTCGCTGGCAGGTTGGACTTGTGCCACATACCACTCAAGGGGCACAGTGCTCGAGTGAAGTGCCTGTCATGTTCTATTAGCACTGCGTAAGCCTACTCTACCACAAACTATATCTTCAGATCATTTTTTTTTTTTAAAAAAGGCATTTAAGAAAGTATCAGACTCAAAACAGTCAGTAGTCGCCCTCCGTGTAAAACAGATACAGCACGAACCTCCCATCTCCGCTGCTGACCTGTCTGCTGGCTGTTGTAATCGTTCTGTTCCCCCTTCCCATGGTGACTTTGGTGAATTAATTGCAGACTTACATTATGCAAAGAGTCCAGCCCAATCTGTAAATTCAGCAATTAGCTAGTCTTTGTTTATCCTGCCTCACTGGAGGCTGTCAACAATAATATCAATTTATAGCACTTCTTTTTTGTTTGTTCTTTTAGTTTAAGTAAACAGTTGTCCCCTACGGGCGAGACGACTCACTCTGGGGAGCTGTAGTTTGCAGTATGTATGGCCAACTACTATTTCTAGATTGAAGACAGCAAAAACAATGAGAAGTGAAGTCATTTCTTATCTAATCTTGAGAAAAAAAATCAGTTGATAGCAGCCTTCAATTGATCTAAAGATACCCAAAAAACCCCACGCACCACTCATATCCCTTCTCTGAATGGCATCATAATCTCTTTACATTTTCTTTTCCAAATACCTTTTAGCTCCTCTGGGATAAAAGGAGGTCACTGGAGTCTTCACTATTAATTTCAGTCCAGCCAAGGTCTACTTTTTTGAGTTATATCTGATGACCACTTAAGCCATAAGGCTCTTCAGTCAAAGAAATAGAAACATAAGATCTAAATGTGATCATTTCAAAGATATTTAGGTTGATTTTCTATTCTATTTTTTTTCTAATAAAAATTTGAAAGATTGGTGAATATTATAATAAAGTATACAGCTGATAGGGACACAAACATTTGAAGAAAAGAAAGATGACAGCTTAACCACCATTGAATTATTGTTTAAATACCATTACAATAAAAAGAACATGGAAAACAGTATAATTATTTACTCTATAGAGCATAAACAGCTTGTACTTCATGTTTTCATATAATTTTAGCTTCTTAGTTCTTTCTAGTCACCTGAAGTTACTGGCATTTTCTCACTACAATAAAGAAAGAACATTGTGATGATGACAGAGGGGCTATTTGACATTAAGCCTGTAAAAACAATGCTTCAAACTTTGTTCTTGCAAAATAGATCCAGATAAAAGAGCTCCTTACTGTGGATAGTTCTAAGCCTCCTGCTATCTTACAGGCTGAACCCAAATGCACTGAGTACAGCACTGATATCAGAACACATCTGCAGTCAGGGTAGTATGACATTTTATGACAGTTGTACAAAATATGCACAGTAGGAATACCTTTATTTTTCTAAATCCAGGCTTACTACATTCCCTGCTGCCTCCTCATTTGTGTGTAAATTAATGGTTGACAGCAAGTTTGCAGAAGAGCGTTAAGTGCAAGAAGAAGCAACTCRAAAGCCAGTTAATGCTGTTTTGCACTTCGTCCCACGTGTGAAAGCTGCAGAGCGTAGCAGTGTGTGAGGTGGTCACGGCTGGCAGCGGGCCACACGAGAACATAAAGATAAGGTGACATGAAACATGAGTTAATACCAGCCTGGACCACTACCAGCTTGTAGATCCCATTTGCCACCCCTGCCATTGAGCTCATTTTAGAGACTGCAACCTGCAAGAGAACACTGAGCCAGGAGAAAATTAAAATATATTATCTGTGGGTCCAGGAAAGCTGCGGAGAGGAAGTGGGCTGAAAATAAGAACCATGCCGTGAACTTTTGAATGCAATTCTTTTGGGAAGGAACAGGTGAAGCAAAGCTGAGGCTGAACTAATGAGCCCAATATAACAGGTGGGAAAGAACAAGCAACTAATGGGAAAAAGGCTGTGTGTCATGAGAGCACAAGAAGCAGTGTTTATACAGGAGGTTTTGTTCAATAATGAGAAAGGGAGAATAGGCAAGTTGGAGCATTACTAGGGACTGGGGGAAGATTTTGAACTGCTTTTTTTGTCTTATGTTTATCTGCTTACTATGAAGTCAGAGTGGTGGGAATAAGGCAAGAAGGATTTGCTCAAGGCATTAAAGGTTTTGTAAAGGACAGATTAAGTAACAATGCTCACACACACACAAAAAAAATCAATTTTGAGGAGCTTATGAAGCCTTGAATGGGCTTTTGTAGCAGAGAAGCAAGATTGAAATTTTACTGAACCTGTCAATTATTTGCGTTTACAGCTTTCTGCAAATGTCAAGAAAAGCAGAAAACAAAAGCAAAGGAAGCAATGAACATTCACACACTAATCAAATAAAGACCACGTGGAAGCGCAATCCAGATTACTGAGTGACTTAATTCATGTTAAAGTATAAGGTTTCCCTCCTTCCCCTGAGCTTTAGCCAGGCCTGTGATTGAATTCACACAGCTGTTCCTGGCCAGGAAGTTTTTCCTAATATCTGGCTTCCCAGGCACTGTCCTCACAGAAATTTTGTTTAATGCTGTATCAGACCACCTGGAGAAAAAAAAAAAAAGAAAGAAAGAAAAAAAGGAAATCTGCAGAATTCCTCAGTGATTCACATGTAAAATGATATAAAATGTGTGTGACCTGGTTTTATTTCAGGAGAACAGACACATAAAGAGCAAAACACTGTGATGGAGCTCAGAGAGCAAAACATCCGGTTAGATCTGCTGACGATCCGAGATTTGAAAATACGGAGGAAATTGAAGCCAGTTCTGAAATTCTGTATGTTGTAAAAATGATTCTGTTAAACTTGAAGCACAGGCATCCGCGTGGATGTTTGCCCAAATGCACTTGAAAAGTGGAATGATGCAGCCCCCTGGCTGTTGGGAGAGGCAATTCCTGCTCCTCGAGCAAACTAAATTCCCAGCCAKATTCTCTAGCAGAAGAGTGTATAGCCAGCAAAGAGGCTCGAGGTAAAGCAGTTAGGAAGAACATAAAAGAACAATATCAAGTGCAGTAATATGAAGTACTAGTAATTCATGTCTTCTAGGTTCATAAAATCTAGAACAATACAACCCAATGCTAGAAATGGTATCGTTTGCAACTTCAATACCAGGCCTGTGCTTTAATGCCCCAAGGGCATTGGCAACTGATGTCATTCAACCAGTATCATAATTTGGTTTGTTATCTTGTATATGCACGTGGCAACCCCTTCGTTTCATCTTTTTGAATTTCCATG